GTAAGTAATTCCATTATTTTCTTATGAGCTCAGGAAAAACAATAATTTCTCAAGAACTGTTGTTTAAGTAAATTAGTTCTGAAATCTCTTTTAGGGCTGGGTCTGCATAACATGAAAATAAAGGTGAGGAGACTAAATATCTGAAAAGCCAAATGACTTTTTTGCAGGTTAGTTGGTGACAGGTTACAGCTGGTGGGCAGTGGCTGCTTTGGTTGTGAGTAAAAAATCCTTTGTCTCAGGCACAAGAATCTCATGTCTTCTGCAAGCATCCGTGGAACTGTGGCAGGCTAACTCATTAAGTTGTATAGTCATTTGATGGAAATTCTTTGGCTTCTAAGTCTCTTCCACTCCATTAAACTTATTTAAGTAGGATAAAATCCCAGCCCTTGGCTTCCCAGAGACTTCATTTTCATGGAAATCCAACTCTTCCTCCCTCTACTCTACTCCAAACAAACACAGCGTTAGGGCTACAGAGCTCCCAGAATCTTTTTTTTTTTAATTGTAAACCTATCTTCTTGCTCATGAGTAATTGGTCTCTTTCAATTTGTTGGAATTGGTGTTGAAAGAGAGAAATCATTCTGTCACAGGGAACTGGACCTGAGCACATACATATTTGAAGCTGTCAGCTAAAATCATGTTCCTCCACGTGGACAAGGAAGCAGAGAATACCCCTTTGTACAGTATTCATAAGATGACATATGTCTCACTTTGCAGAGATATTGCCTGCTTATATCTATTGTCTCAGTATAGTTATTAATGGTGTCTTTTCTCAAAATGTCCTGATTTGGAAGATTAATTATATGATTAACTTAATCACTCAAGACTCTGATGGCAAATGATAGAAGCTCGATTTGAATAGCAGCTGCCTAGATATCTGAGTACCAGCATCCAAGGTAAGAAACACAACTTTCAAGCATATGGACATGGAAAAGAGTGGAGGGACAGCATTTCCCTCTGTGTGGGAGCAATTGCCTTTGAACTAGGAAGGCTCCTATATCTTATCTTGGGTAAGGGGGAAGTACCCTTTTCTGAGTTGAGTTCTCCCCAAGTGTTGCTGGATAGGCCGTTGCTGTTACTGGTGATAAACAGAGTAATAGCTCATCTTAACATATTGACTCTAGATATGATCACTGCAAAAGCTATTTTTACCCCATCCTCTAGTCATATACTTTACAAATACGCAGGTTAGGAGTTAATCTTCAAGTGTTATGCTGATAAGAGTCTATGACTGTCACTAGGATTTTGACTCCCAATTCATGCATCCATTCTCTATATCAAATTAGAGTCAACTTGCAGGGAGAAGGAAGAATAAAGTGCACAGATAACAAGTGGTAGAGCAGACAGAGAAGATACTTTGGTTTTCTTATGCTCCAGTTCCTACTGAGGCTGCCTCTGAGGTGCATTCTTGCCTTTAGATTCCATAATATGCCACAATATCTTCATAATTATAATACCTTTATGCTTAAATTAACTCTAAAATCTTTCTGTAATTTGCAGTCCTTGAAGTCCTAGTGCAGATTTAATTTTCATCTGTAATTAGATGAATACCTGGAATTCATTTATTTTGCATTTACTATATGAATATCAAATGCTTAACGTATGCTAGTCATTGTGCTAGCTTCAGGGGACACCGGAAGACAGACATGTTCCTACCTCCCTAAAATCACCAAACCAGTAACTAGAGGTGTGAGACCCTTCCTATTCTGCTTCAAAAAATTGATCAAACAATATCCTGGGTATTCATAGACTGTGAAGAGTCACTACAATGAAAATTCTTGGCTTAAGAATGAGGTTTATTCTAAAAAAGACAGATTTGGAAAAATATGAAGGGATATTTTTAAACCAAAAGAATACATGTATGAATATTATACATATCTAAGATATAAAGTATTTGTAAGAAAAAGTGGTTACATTTTAAAAATTGTGCTTTATCATTTCATAAACTTTTACATCCTGCTGTGGATGTGTCTTTGAAATGAGCTTTACACAGTTGTTGGGCGGACTGGGATGGAAAAGACAAATCTGCTATGTTAGCCAAACCTCTATAGAGAAAGCATTTCTTCTCAGTTTGAGGGTGGGGGAGGTTGTTCCAAACCCTGGAAGAAGCTTGAGAGGTGATTTGGAGGCAAGGGATCATTGAGATCATTTTCTCAGGCTGAGTGGGTAAGGCAAATAAGAAAATAGACTGATTGCTTCTAGTGTTCCTCTTTCATGGGAACAAATTACTGTGCCTTTGATGTTTATTAATTTATCATCACTAAATGTGATTCCTAAGTACAGAACAGTTCTGGATTTTCTTTATTGTGTGCACATTAAGACTGCAGCCGAGGCAGAACAAGAATTGGAGTTCCACCAGCACTACTTAAGCCCTGCGGGGACCTTCTGAAAACATCCTGGTTTTAGTTTAGGGCTTCTAGGAATGCCGATGGGAAATCTTCCAAGTATATCATGGAGTGGGGCGAGCTGCGTTTTGACAACTGTAGTTCAGTCTCTGAGGTTCTAAATAAGCAAAATTATGGTGCATATGACTCAGAAGGCCTGAAAGATTCTCTGGAAAAAGATATAATTTCCTCCCTGATGAAACTCTCCATCCTCCCCTCTGCAGGTAGTGAGGTGAATGAGACAAGATGTATTCCTTCTGAACCTGACCACAGAACAGGAAGTCTGTGTATAATCGGCTGACAGTTCTTGCTAACGGTATTTATCATTGTATTGAGAGTTCACTGGGGTTGCTCACTGTTCCAGTGCTTTTCATGCACCATTCATTTAATTCTCATAAACACATGTGACAGATGCTGTAATAATATCCATTTATAGATGAGTAAACTAAAGCAGGGTGAGTTAAAGTAACTTGCCCAAGGTCACAGACAGTAGTGATAAAGCTAGAACTTGAACTCAGGCCCTCAGGCTGCAGAGTGCATACTTTGAACAATTATTTCAGCCTCCTCAGTGTGGGCAGGCTGAGTGGCAACCAGCACTTGGCCCACAGTAGGTGCTCAATGAACATTTATTGATTCACTGACCATTGGGTTCATAAGGAGTTCTTTTTGATTTGCCCAAAGAGGAGCTAACCCTAAAATGTGCAGTCAGATAGTGCATATGTAAAAGGCTGATCCTGAACTATTCCCTCCCTATTTGTCTATTGGAAATGAAAAACTTGTGGATCCATGCTCTTAATCTTAGAACTAAAATGTTATTTCTGGGTCACATATCCCTTGAAAACCATCTAAAAACTTAGAATCCACACCACATAAAAATACTCACACACATTTTTTTTTTTTGCATAGTGTCCGGGATGGTTTAGATCCCTAGAACCTTCAGGACCAACAACAGTACTTTTTGGGGAGTGACTCGGAACTTCGAATATTGATACCTTCCACTTGCAAGCAAGTTATAGGAGTGTTTAATTCAGGCAAATTGGTATTCACACTTTACTGAGGGAGTTGCTTTTGGTTTTCTCCTTTGGGCGAAAGCTCCGTGTCCGTGTTACAGTTGGCTGGGGCCACTAGCTGGCTGGGCAGTTTCTGCATTCCATGGCGGGGCTCCAGACACGCACAGTGCCCCACCGGGAGCGGATGTGTGAGCTCCAGGTTTCTGACACGAATGTTACTGATGACGCCCCTGCTGAAAGGCCTCTTTATTATCATGGTAAATACCGGGCGAACAAAGGGGCCATTCTCAGAACAGAGGGCTGTTATTGTTAATTGGATATTTTTGATTATAGTATTAAGTTGGCCAGAGTATTACAGCATGTCGTTTTGGGCATGAGTTCATTTGGGCAGCGTCTCTTAACATGGGAACCGAGTAGCACATGCTTCCTCACTCACAAGCCTCCTTTATCTGAGCTGCTGTGAAGGGCAGCTGCAAACTGGAGCATTCTATTGGAAGAGCGCACAGTTTTGGGGGGAGGGGTGAAGGGTATGGGAAAAATGACTTGAATTTTGATATCTTTTTTATGTTTAAGATTCTCTGGAAAAGGATATAATTTGAATGAAGTTCTTCTACGAGATCGTGGGAATAGAAACATGATTCATTGCTGGAATGGATGTGTTTCAGTTCTCGGCCAAAGATTAGGAGTCTTTCGATAACTTTGGGGAGTGGGTGATTGCACTGTCTCTGGGAAAATACACCCTGTTCTTGAGCACAGTGAGGAGCTGTAGGATGAGCTGAAACAACGGTGGATGGAGAAATGACGATCTGGGCTCGGCTTCAGTTCTGCCTTTAACAAACAATGTGATCTTTAACAGATAACTTCCTCCCTGAGCCTCAGCCTTGAAAAAAAGGGGTTGAACCCTAGCCAGTATAGCTTAGCGGTTAGAGCATTGGCCCATAGACCGAAGGGCACGTACTTGGGTTGTGGGTTCGATCTCCATTTGGGGTCATGCAGGAGGCAACCAATCAATGTGTCTCTCATACACTGATGTTTCATTAGAGAGAGAAATACCTTGAGGTTCCTGCCCCCATCACCACCCTTCTTTGAATCCTACGGGATATGGAGGAAATCTGAAAAAAACTCAAGGTGAAAATTAAGATATGGAATCTTTGCACTGCTGGTTTTGCTTAGTGGTTAGAGCATGGGGTTCGATTCCTGGTCAGGGGTGCATAGCTGGGTTGCAGGTTTGATCCCTGGCCCTGGTCAGGGTCATGCTGGAGACAACCACTTGATGTGTATTTTTCACATTGATGTATCTCTCTCTCTCTCTCTCTCTCTCTCTCGCTTCCTCCCTCCCTCCCTCCCTCCCTCTCTTCCTTCTCACATCAATGTATCTCTCTCTCTCTCCCTCTCTCTCTAAAAATCAATGGAAAAATATTCTTGGGTGAGGATTAAAAAAAAAGAAGAAGAAAAGAGTTGCAAGGCTCTTGTGAGAAACACTATGATTTTATGAAAAGACAAGATTTCAATTTTCTTTCATTTTTGAGTTACTGCAGAGCACTGGAGTCTGATAGTTGAGCTCCCTGAAATGTGTGTTGAGTGTTCCGTTAGTGAGGGCATGGGACTTCCAAAGCATCACAAATCTTGGATACACATAGAGATTGTTCCCCCGAGAAATGAACCCATTGACTAGAATTCACTTTCCTTTTCTCTGAATGTTACTTTCAGTATCAAGGGCAGGACATTTTGAATTATTTTTGTGTTTGCCCCATACAGTCTGATAAATATTTGGGTAATAATAAGACCCAGGCCTTTGCGTTTTTCTCCTCCAAATTTAGTCTAGTTCTTTCCTTGTTTTATTTTTATAACAACAATATTACTATTTTCTTTCATGTGGAAAGACCTGGGAGTCACTTGAGTCAGTTGATTGTAAGATGACCTAACAGAGAGGACCTTGTTTAGCTGAATTATTTATTCATCATTTAAGCCACTTCATTTCCATGATCTTAATTTTCCCAAATATCAGCTTCCCACATCATGGCCTGTAGGCATTCTAAGAAGCTTATAGCTAAAGCACAGAGAAGAACATTCAGGAAAGAATATAAAAGAGAAAATAAAATAAATCAACTTTTGTTGTATTTTTGCTTTCAAAAGACAGGGGTATGGAGCATGGTATATTTTGATGCTAACACGTATAGCCTGAGGAGGAAATATATGATGGGGGGGTGGTATTCATGATGTTGATATAAATTGTATTATTTGAATGTCACTTTCGATTCTGGTGCTTTAGCTCAAAAACAAAATTATAATCTTATCACAGGGTTTTACTATTTTGGAGAACCATTCATTTGAAAAGCTATATAATGACAAATGTTTTCGTTTTTTCCCACAACCACCTGGTGATGATTTTGTGGATCTTTTCTCTTAAGATTAGGGTTCCTTTCACATTCTGGTCTCCTCTAGAGGTCGATTAATGAAGTCTTGAATAGCCTGATGCAAAGGAAGCCATTTCTTGATAGACATTTCCAGAGCTGTAATCCAGCTGCAGAAATAACAGCACATGACAGGTCACTAAAACATCATCTCACTCTGAGGAGGTGAACTGTTACGGAAACACTTCATTCATTTTCTAATTGTTTCTCTTGGTTATTTGGCTTGAAATTAATAAGGTAAACAGTGCTCCTCAGATTTTGGATTGAACAAAAGGTAAAACACCAAGTGAGAAGTATGCAATTGTCGCTCCAAAGTAAAATTATGTTAATATAAATAATAGGATCAGAAGAGGGTACAGTGTTTGTAAATAGTGAATAATAAAGCCATAGGACTTTAAAAAGTATTTCTATTTAAATTTAAAGTATAGTTGATCAAAGATATAGCAATAAAATATTGCCATTAGGGCAAATATTTTGTTATTATATTCTGGAAACCACAGCCAACTCTTTGGTTAATTCTCTTTCATTCTCTTGTCCCTTCCTTTCATTTTCTTGGATGGTGTTTTATAAAATATAACATTTATTCTAAGGGTCATTGATAGGTGTTTCTTTCTTTCTTTTTTTTTATCCTCACCCGAGGACATTTTTTTGATTTTTTGTTCAGATAGAGTGGGAGGGAGGGAGAGAGAGAGAGAGAAACATTAATGTGAAAGGGACACATCGAGTAGTTGCCACCCGCACAACCCAACCAGGGCCAGGGACACACTGCAACTGAGGTACGTGCCCTTAGCGGAAACTGAACCCGGGTCTCTTGGGACCACAGGCCGATGCTCTAACCGCTGAGCCAAACCGGCCAGGGCAAGGTTTTTCTTTTTTTAATGGTTTGTGCCAGATAAGCTTAAGAAATGAAAATTATGGAGAGTTAACTGGGATTCTTTGTATGAGGTTGTCTTAGCAACATTAATAAGTTAATGTGCTCTGTGATTATCTAAGAGGGTAATATGATTTGTATAATTTCCTACACTTACTTATTTTTTGCAAGTGGGGCATCTTGTGAAATCAGAGTTCCATGAACCACACTTTGTGAAACCCTTGCTCTTATGCTTTGAAATATTTCTGTAATGATTCCATAGTATTTCCTATTGATAATTTCACTCATGGATTTGGTGGTAAGGTATTCAACCTCTTCTCTCAGAGAAGCCAGTGGATTTTACTCAACAGGATTTAACTTTATTTCATTGACTCTTCTCCTCTATATGTAAGTTGGAGCTTCGCCCTCAAGGGAACCATCTTAATCTGGCACCCAGATCGTATAGCACAGGCCTGAGATGAAGATCTTGGCAAAATATCTAGCAACTCTACATTCATTATCCTCTCGCTCTAGCCTGTCCTCAGGAATGGGTGAAACAGACAAGATTTACATAGCGGGAGATGGTGAAGGGAGATCCTTTTTCCTTCCCCCAAATGGTCACTTGCTGGAGATCCAGAAATTCTACTTTCAGAGTTTTATTTCTTTGTATCTAGTTATTGCAAATGTCTCTGGAAGTTGCACCATATCATCTGTTTTAATGAATTACTGTGCACGTTTTATTAGATCCTTTTTATTAGTTGGGAGAAAGTGTCTGTGAGGTGAGGGATGGCCACCAAGCGGTTGCAGGGCACTGCTACCTTGGGGGTGGAGTGAAGATAGGGGAACCTGAAAGATGCAGGAGGATGCCCCAGGTACCAGAGACACTTCCTCTGCTTCATGGTTTTATCTTTGTTAATCGACTGCTTTTTCCACAGAATCATTAAGAACCAAGAGCTCATTTGTACATGCCAATTTGGATCGTGAACATGTCAAATTAGATGGATAAGTCCTATGTCCTTCAATGGCTTATGACAAAACCAAAAAAAAAAAACACACAAAAACCTGACCAAATTCAGATGGACATATGATTAAGAGTTATGTGAAAGGAGGTGAAACAGCAAATCTGTGAATTAATCAATTGCAACATCACAGGTTATGGTATTAGTAGATTTTTTTTATGTTGAAGCCTGAGTCAGTCACTGCCTAGGGAAAAATTGTGAACCCCTTTTTCATCTTGGGGGGGGGCTTTTTAAAAGCAATGCAAACCTTCTATGCATTGAAAGAAGAAGAATCCTGGGTGATATTAACTATGGAGACAGTGCAAAGAAAGGGAGTGACTTGATGGAAGATACGGAGTTGAAGTTGGAAAATGAGAATAAGGGTTTGCTATGAGAGCTTTTGTCGGGACAGAGAAAGAAGAAGAAATATGCAGATCTTGACTTACCGTTGGTTTTCTGTTTTATTTTCTGCACAGAAATAGAAAGTCTTTAACTCTTCAGATGGAGGTTTAAGTTCAATTATTGATTCCTTGAAGCTAAGGGTCTGCTCATTCACCCTATATCCTTGCAGATACAGGCCACCTACAGAAGGTGAAAGAACCAAAAAAAACCAAAAAACAAAAACCAAAACAAACAAACAAAAACAGGGAGGAAATTAATGAAAGAGTTAGATAAGAAAAAAGAGTCTGAAAAGGTATCAAGAAAACAATTTGCATCTTAAAGAACTTTTAGTCCGGCTGTCCCATTTTGCAGATGAAGAAACAGAGTCCGAAAGAGTACAGGATGTAAGGACATCCATTAAGATTAATGGCTAGACTGGTAATAAAGTCTGGATTTCCTGGCTTTCACTTTCACAGCCTTCTTACTCCATGTTCAGTATTGCGCTTTCATTTACTGTGGGCCTACTAAGCTAACTTCTTTACCTGGGAAACACATTTTGAAATAAAATTGTCAGCATCAAAGAGTGACATCGGCAATGGCATAACATTAGAGGGAAATGCAATCATATTGACTGGGCAGAACAATGAGGGCATCCTTTCTGAAGAATAATGCAGAATGCCAGCAGTTTCCACAACCAACACAGATTCTCACCTTCTTTGTGCATATTTAATGCCAAGCACATTTAAAATATGAACCCACAGGGTGATGTGAGGGAGCCAACTTGAATTAAAATGAGAGTAAATGACTGGTTTTAAAAGATTTTTTCCTCCCCATGGTCCTTTGAATCTATGTTAGTGGTTATATATTGCTTGGCCTGAATTTTCTTTCCATTATTTGGGGGTTTGGGGGAGGATATCAGTCTAGTAGAAGGTGCTGAAAAATCAAAATGCTTCGGTGTTTATTACAGTGTCTGGATGCTCTGAGTAACCTGAATCTCACGCAGAGACTTCAGGTAGCATCACCAGCAGCGATAAGGAGATGTTTGAACCTCTCTCTTGCTATCCTGGCTGGTTTGGCTCAGCGGTTAGAGCCCAGTCCATGGACCGGAGCTGTGGGTTCGATTTCAGTCAAGAGCAGGTACCTCAGTTGTGGTTGGGTCCCTGGCCCTGGTTTGGGTTGTGTCTCACCCACATCGATATTTTTCCCTCCCTCGCACCCGTCCTCCCTCCCATCCTCCCTCCCAGTCTATCTGAAAATCAGTGGGAAAATATCTTCAGGTAAGGATTTAAAAAAACTTTAAAACAATAAAACTAACAAACCTCTCCCTTGCTCTCACTATCTCTCACTCTCATACCTGCCTCCCCAGGAGCCACTGTGGTGCCCTGTACTGACCAAACCATGGCTGGAGTTTTGTCCTGCACAAGAGCTGTTCATGCCCATGTGTTTATGAGGGACTGTCAGGGGAAATGTGGTCCCTTTGACTACGGCAGACTTTTGTTTTCCTTTTGGCTAACCTGGTGCCAACATACACTGTCAGGAAGTCATATCTTTTTCTTTTTAAATAGAATGAGAGGCTTTTGGACTTTAAAAATTAGGGGAAAATTTGTTTGTTTGTTTATTTATTTATTTTAATGTACCTTTATTGTTGAAAATATTACAGATGCCCTCCCACTGGCTCCTTCTTCCTGGATTTAGATGTAATAATAAAGTTTAAAAACTTTTTCATTAAAAAAAGAGTCAACTTTAGAATTACTAGTAAAACATTCATTTTAGAAATGGTTAGATTTGTTTTTTTTATGTAGACCCCAGTAAAATGGTTTTTACTAAAATCAGAGAGTGACTTCCTTCTTTTGAGTTATATGTGTCAACTTTAGTGAGGTATAATTTAAACACCATAAAATCCACCTATTTAAAGTGCATAATCAATGACTTTTAGTGTATTTATGGAATTGTATAACCATCATCATAATCTAATTTTATAACATTTTCATCCCCTCAGAAAGAAACTCCATACTCATTAGTAATCATGCCCCATCTGCTGCCCAAACTCAGCTTCAGTGATCCAAACCTACTTTCTGTCTCTGTACATTTGCTTTTCCTGGGACTCTTAATACGAATGGAATTATACAATATGTGGTCTTTTGTATCTGGCTTCTCTCACTTAGCAAGATGCTTTCAAGGTTCATCCACATTGTATCATGTGTCAGTATTTCATTCCTTTTTAGTGAATGGGCGTACCACATTTTACTTATCCATTTGTTAGTTGATGGACAATTTTAATTTTCCTTTGTGAATAATGTTGTTATGACTATTCATGTGCAAGTGTTTACATAGATATATGTTTTGGGGTATAGACTAGAAGGGGAATAAGCGATGTGCTAGGTGTTTCAGGATGTAAGGTACCTAAAGACATATCAAAGGGTAATTTTGCTGTCTTAATTTTCTGCTCCAAACTATAGTACCCAGCATCTATATATTGTATTGGTATCTGATGTCTTCCTGCTTGTGAGATTTCCTTTTCTTATTTATCTGAGCAGGTATGAATACCCTCCTCCATCCCTACCCTTTCTGAGATGGATAGAAGGGCATTGTCCAAATGTGTCTGCTACAAACAGGAGGGTTATCTGACCTCTTCTCTAACCAGTTATAGTGCAGAAATGATTGGCAGTAAAGACAACGAATTATATCCCAATTACCTCATTTGAGGTGACCTCATTGGGCTGGTCTCTCTCTGTAACTGGGCAGCAGCAGTAAATAGCAAACTGGCCTAATCTTGGACAGAGATTTCTCACAAGAACTGTACAAGCATCCTGTGTTCCATTTGTTGCAATAATGTAAACTATGTGTATCTTTTCGAGAAGTGCTCACAGACCTTGATGTGATTTATTCAAGAACCATAGTTAAACATCATCATTTGTTACTTCCAGCTTTTGCTGGAGAGAGATAAAAGGGGGAAAAATCAAGTGCATGGTGAATGACAAGGGGCTTCAGGCCTGTGGAGAAGCACTTGACTAACAGGCTTCTGGAAACCTCACACAGTACCTTTTTAATATTAGCAGGCACAGCCAGCCAGTAATCCATATTGTGAAAGTACCAGCACTTTCCTTGACAGTAAGGGAAGACTTCAGGGACCTGTCTGCGGCTATTTTAACTGCCACAGTACACATTAGAGGCATATTTATCTAGCTGAAAGTAAAATGTGGGATTAGCATCTAATGTGGTTCTTACAGGAAATTGGGGCCGTGTGGCTTCTCAGATCTTGCTCATTCCCCTCATTTCACTGTTATTTTTCCACGTCTTCTCTTTCTTGTCCTCAGTATTGCCTCAGCGTCTCAGATGACTTTACAAGAAATAAGTCATGCCCCAAATACTTCAGGAATGAGAAATATCAACTGAGATCTCCCAGGCCTCTCATAAAGAACATAAAGCAATGGGATAAAATAAATAAAAATAAAACAGTAAAGCATCAAGGATGCTACAACTAGTGGACCATGTCTCTATGAAGCGGTGACCACAGAAGCCTGGGTCTTAATAACAAAGCAACTGCTATGGTCGGCATACTCTGAAGTGAACTGAAAGGAAGGAGCCTTTCTAAGCACTCTATGATTCTGAACAGAAAACGGACTGTTTGAACAAGCATGTATTCAGAGACGGTGTTTTTGTATATCAGTGTTTTACTAACTGTTTGCCTGTGAGAAATACAGACCTCTACATGTTTTTGTACATTTAGACCCAAAGTTTTGTAAAACATTGTAGTGTGCTGTATAATATTTTCTGTTCAATTCAATTCTATCCTATTATATTTTTAAATACTGGTCAGAACCTATTACATTGATTGCATGATTCAGTGATGGGGTCAAAACCTGCAATTTGGTATAAATGGTAATCGAGGCCTATTTCAAGGTTATGACCTTAACAGGCTAGAGAACAAGGAACCAGACTAGGGTGAGATGTGCAAGCGCCAAGCAGAGCTTAGACAATGCATGTAAAGGAGGAATTTTAGATTAGACCAGAACAGAGATCACTCACTTGGCATCACCTAGAAGAACTGAAATTGAGTAGTAAGACTCTGAATAATCTTTATGAAAATAATAATGACTCACATCCCATGCATATAGTATGATTCAGTCAAATGAAGTATTTTAGAGCCTGTAGTGTCCATGGCACATCATGGATTCAGCCATTCTCAGCAAGTTTCTCTGCTATCCTCACAACTCCCATGGCTCTTGTGTTGAATAGTTGGACTGGGTGGACCCAGGTAATTGTAGTCAGGTGCTGAAGTCCAGAGTGCAGAGACCAGATAAACAGTGCCATTGACTGAGTGCTATTTTAAGAAGACTGATTTCTGCTCAGCTGGTGTCGCTCACTGGTTAAGCATTGACCCATGCACCAAGAGGTCTTCGGTTTGATTCCCAGTCAGGCGCATGCCAGGTTGTGGGCCTGGTCCCCAGTGCGGGGCATGCAAGAGGCGGCCAATCGATGTTCTCCCTCATAGATGTTTCTATATCCCTCTCCTTTCCTCTCTCTAAAAATCAATAAAGAAAAAATGTTTTTAAAAAAAGAAGACTAATTTCTGTCAGGGAGTGCTACACATAGCACTGTGGTTAAGAGTTTGGGCATAGGATTCAGATAGCATTTGTTCCCATTCTGTCTCTGTCACTTACCAGCTGGGTGACCATTGGATATTAGTCAACTTTTCTAAACCTTCATTTCTCACTTATCACGGTGCAATAACAGTGGATAGTTTTGAGAATATTAGTCTTAGATAATGAACGTAAGTGCTTGTCCAAGCCCTGGACACATAGGAAGCCTTCAGCAGTACATGCTGACTTTCCCACTCCCATACACCTGAGCAGAATGATCCAGTTCTCTGAAGACATGTGGTGAGCCAGTGCACAGTTCTTGGTGGACAGTGGTGATGAGGCGTATTTCTTTTGGGAATTCCCCACAGGAATATGCATGGATCCTATCTCTGGTTTTACTGTTCCAGATCACCGGCTGTGAATATCCGGTCATGAGTGAAGTTAAAATGTACAAGAAGGTTGAGCAGGACTTTCAAAATAGATTGTAAGCTTCAATTGAAAATTAAAGTCTAGGGAAGGGTAAAAGACTTTAGAAGAGTTTCTGCACAGCCCCCTGAATGCTGAAGACTGGTTAGCTACTGATCAACCCTGGGAGTGCTTCTTTGGGCCCCAGCAGCTGTCAGGGTGGGGGTGGGGTGGCAGTAAAGTGCACCTTCTGGAACAAGGTGTGTGCTCAGGCACATGGTCATTTTTATTCAAGGAAGGGGAGAACCATATGAAACTAAAAATCACAGGCGTCTATTTTAGACCATGGCCTACATATACAATTTCTGTTAGACTTTCAGTTAGGAAAATGTTATTTTAATCCATATTTGAGATCATTTTTGCTAGAAATTGAGGGCTCATGGGGAGAGAAATATTCAAGACTTAAGGCTGGAAAAGAATGAATGGCTTTGGATTAAATGTTTTTTAAGCATAAAAGAATACATTTTCAAGAAAGGAATTAAAAATAGATAGAAATTAGATAATTCGTGATAGCTGGAAAGAGTGGGATATGGCAGAAAATCTAGGCATCTATCTGGTAGTCTGAGTTCTGATTTTACCTTTGAATTGACTTTTGAATTTTCTGATCTTTCTCTGCTATTAAATGAGGGAATGACAAACTTCTCATAGTTCATGGGAATAATGGCCAATGAGGTAATATGGTTCATTCATTCATTCATTCATTCACTCAATATACATTATATCTCTGAGCATATAATCCCTTAGAAAAGATGGAACTGCTAAATAGAGATAAAAATACAAAGTAGGGGGTGATAAATGTCATAAGATAGGTAAGTGTGCAAGTTCAGAAAAAGGAGATGTTTTTTTATTTAGGGCCATCTGAGATTGCTTTATAACAGAGATGGTTATCATTTGAATAAGGACTTGAAGAATCTGGGCAACCTGTGTCAGGAAATCAGTAGGTAGAGAATGTCTCAGGGGAAGAAACTAGCACAAGCAAACAGGTCAGAAAAATGTTCTAGCTGGTGTGTAAAAGAAATACAGAATGTGACCATGTTTGGGTAGAGTGCAGGGTGCTTAACACAGGATTGGAAGAGAAAAGCAGAAAGAAGGGTTTCAGAGTAAAGTATAAGGCCCCAAAGTGCTCCAGAGACAACAGAAAACCATCCAAGAGTCTGGAGAGATGTGTGAAATGATAAGAGCTGAAGATAAACAAACCTTCCAATGTTTCCCACTTGTCTATTTTTTCTTTTTGTTGGAATAACTTAAGCTATCTGGGTTTAAATTCTGTCTTCACCATTTACAAGCCAGAGGAATGTGGGCAAATGATTTAACCTTTTGCTAAGCATCAGTTTCCAAACATATAGTTGGGATAATCAGCTATCTTATAGAATTGTAGTAATTAAGTGAAATGATAACAGAGTGACCACTACAAAAGCTGCATCCACTGAATGATAACACTGCTTTTGCTGATATTATTAAATATTTTTTTATTGATGAGAGAGAGGGGGGGGGGGAGAGAGAGAGAGAGAAAGAGAGAGAGAGAGAAACATTGACGTGTTCTACTTTTTGATGCATTAATTGATGCATTCTTGTATGTGACCTGACTGGGGATCAAATCCTCAGCCTTGGTGTGTAGGCTATTTATGAGTAGCTGTTTCCTAGCTCTCCAACTAGGACTTTCCAAGTAGGGCCTCCTCTGACCTTCCAGATTAAGGGAAGCCATCTAGTGGCTGTCATTAGCTATTTTAAATTTTTGGAATTAGCAGCTTGCTCTGGCCCCAGGGATTTGGCAGTGCTTTGCAAATATTTCAGTTTGGAATAATCTGAGCATTCAATCCTAAACATAGCATCATTGACTTGGTAATTAAAATGTTCAGGCTTTTGTGATACTTTATAAAAGAAGTCCCAGGTAATGACCACTTTGGAGGTTTGTTTTGTTTACTTCATTCCCTGGTATCAGGTACCTGCAGCTGTGGATTTGGAGTTGAATAGGAACAGCCTGTCCTTCAATGCTTAGGGATGCCGTCTATCTCTTAATTAGCTGAATGATATTCTGCGTATGTATTTAAAAAAATTTTTCCCCCTTTATTGATTTTAGAGAGAGAGGAAGTGAGAGGAAGAGAGAGATAGAAACATCGATGAGAGAGAAAATCAAATGGCTGCCTCCTGCATGCCCCACACTGGGGATCAGGTCCACAACCTGGGCATGTGTCCTGACTGGGAATCAAACCAGTGGCCTCTTGGTGCATGGGTCGACACTCAACCACTGAGCTATACTGGCCGGACCTGGGTTATGTTTTAACTCTCAAAACCTAAGAGTGATTAAGTGGAAGAGAATCATTGTATTGTTCATTCTCAGTGATTGCGAAATGGACCATGCTTGCTTTGTACCTTTTTTGTACCCTCCCAAGGTCAAAAATTATCACAGGTACCCATTTCCCATTTGGCACGTCTTTCTAGATTAATTAGACCTAAGCATTAATGCTAAAGAATGATATTTAATGACGGAGATTGCAGAATGTTCACTACTGCTAATTATTTAAGGATTTTTCATTTTGGAAAAAGTTCGGTTGCAAATAAAACACCAATAATCTCTTTTGTCAAAGATTATAAGAAGGCTAAGTAATCTTTCTTGTAGAAATCAGGCATAGTTATTTTATTATTAAATTACATTATTTACGTACTTGTTTTGTATATATAGTTTTTAATGTATACAATTTAATAAATATAATAAATGTATATCTCTATCTGTATCTATAATATACAGAGAGCTTTTTATGTAGAGAGATTTATGTAGAGCTTTAATTCACTCTATTGGCAATGATCTCATTTGATCTTAAGAATAGTCCTGTGAAATAGATAGCTGTTTTCATTTTGTAAATGAGGAGAGTACGTTTTAGGAGGTTAAGGAACTTGCCCAGGGGAAATTGACAGTTAATATTTTTTCTGTTACTCACTTTTCTAAGATTAGGGATACTGTGAGAAAAGGGTGGAGTCAGGACACAAGAAAACTATTGGCATTGACTCCGAATGTCATTAATGACTAAAAGAACGAAGGAGTTTATTATTCACTTTTCCAGGCAGTAAAAGCATGGGGCTAGGGGTACAGGCTCTGGAGTTTGTTTGACTGTGTTCAGAGCTCAGCTTCATTGCTTCCTGCATGTAATCTGTCAAGTCATGGAGACCTTCCAGCTAGTTTTCTTCCCTGTAAAATGGAAATCATAATAGCACCTCTTTGGAGGATAAATGAGCTAATTTAGGTAAATGACATAGCACACGACTCGGTAAGGGCTCCATAAAGCTAAGATGTCATTACTATTATTAGTGTAATTGCTATTATCTCACTTGACAGTGGCGCCCGTACCTGAGGCCTGGGCGGAGCGGAGGCCGGCGTAGAAGTACAAGCAGCCATCCTTCAGGACGCAGTAGTGCTGGACCCACACGTCTGTGCTTCCGTGCAGTCGGTGCAGGAGGCCCAGGCACTCTGGGTTCTTGATAGCCAGGGGTGGGAGGCCACTGTTGTGCAGAGTGACGTCTTCCCAGACATGGTTCTGCAGGTGCAGCACAAAGGGATCATCTGAGCCGTCAGCCTGCGCCAGTGGTCACAGGTTTCCCCAGGCTGTTCGACTTCAGAGAAGCCACTGTCCTAACTGATTTCATTGCCAAGGCAATCTGAATCCTTGCACAACCAGCTAGGCAAACCTGAATTTACCCATTGGCCATAGAGGATTTCTCCCTTTTCATGTCCGTAGACATCCCTTCTCTTTGGCCTCTATTCTGTTGTGAGGAACTCAAAAGAACACCAGTGCCGTCTAGAAAGGAAATGGAAATGGCCACCTCAGCAAAGGGGGTTTTGAATGGTGCTGTCTATAAGGGTTCGTCCAGCTCTGCTGTTTCACGCACTATGGGGATTGTCCTCCCAGCCCTGTTCCTGGTGAAATCTACTGTGACTAAGAATAGCAGCCCCTGTTCATACTTTACTTTATCTAGAACACCAATCTGTGCAATGGAACAAGTTAAATGCCCCAGGCCAGGTCGGGCCTTTGGCTCTCAGGGTGAGTGATGTGGAAGGCCTAGGATAAACCCAGATCCTGGACCCTGGAGCGTAGCCCTGTGTTCACAGGCCCTCAGGGCAGGTTCTTCCTGGGGACTTGACCTGAGGCACAGGACCCAGGGCTTCATCTCTTTATCAGAACGCCATGCCTGGCGCCCAGCCAGTGTCTCTTCTATATTTGGTTTCATTTTTGCTCTTGAGTTTTAACAAGGCATTGCAAAAGATTCCGGAATGTGGAGCCAGCTTTATTTGTTGCTGTGAAGTGGGAGCCTGCTGGGAGCTTGGTTGTTCCTTTTTCACTCTGGTACAGACACTGAGTGCATTAGCAGAACAGATCCCGCTTAGCGTCGAGGCTCACTGGGATGACGCACTGGAGAGACGGGTGACTGTAACGGGTGCTGTGTTCCAGGTAAAATGAAACACAAGTCCGCTGCTTGTCACGGGACGATGCCAGTGGCTGTTCTGAAAGGACAGTTACGGGGCATGGGGCGGTACATTCAAGCCCAAGTGATGCAAATTTCCCAAAATATGCAAGAGCCAAAATATGTAGAGATAATCGATGGTAAATGCCTTTTGATTGTGTGCCATTTTGTGAGGAAATAAACATATTCAATGGAAATCTGTCACCTCATTAGAAATCATACACACAGTATAAAAAGGAAACAGTTGGGTATTAAAGCAACGCCTCCAGCACCCCACACTCCCACAGGTCATAGCATTAGCTCAGAAAGAGGACGATCAAATGCCTTAGGGGCTAAAGGGATGACTCACATGTTGATGCTACGAAGTGATCTATCAGTTGACAGGTTAAATCTAAGTTTAAAATTATGCGGCTCCAGGGCTGGGAATCATGACCAGGCAAGATCAATGAAAGAAGGTGGCCTGATAAGGCTCCAGAACGAGGACCTGAGCATAAAGCACTGCATTTCTGAACACAAGACACACACTTTCTAATGAGTTGTTCGGCCAGTTGCACTATCCCAAGCCGCCCTGAAGTTTTGTGCTTAGAGAATGAAAACAGCCCAAGTGTCTTAGCCTCATGGGGAACCAGGCACTGCTCTGTGTGAAACAGAAATTCCACCCCAGTTTGTGACTCCCCGCCCGGCTCATGGGGAGAAATGTCGTACAAAGCCCCGCAAAGAAAAAGAACAGCAGGAATGCAAGGTCCCCCGTAGACTCTGGGTAGGACACCCTGTTGACTTAAAATCCTTTTTCTTAGCTTTTAGAGCAGATCTGAGAAGTCCCAGGTGGACCGCACGGCATCTAACTTGGTCCTCTGCCCCTCTGGGGAGAAAACCGGAGTGAAGGTGGAGATAAACACCAAGAACACTTACCAGGCGGACGGGATGGGCCGCTTTGTCCATTGCCTCAAGCCACCTGAAAGACAGTAAAACAGGAGGCGCTCTTCTTGGGCCCCTAATAGGTGCCATTCGGAGGGGCCGTTCATTCTCCCTGAAGCCCATCATTCAGACAGAACAGTCCTGAGGCTCAGATACATTTCACTGCTCTAAGTTGATGGTTGATTCTTACAAAATCACTGTGACTGGGTGCCAAACCCCACTCCCATCAGGCATATTTAAAATAAATTATTCTTATTCTTTACTGTAGTTCAATCAGTGCCTAAGAGAAAACTCATTCATTTTTATTTTACCAAGGTACGTAAATTTATTTACACCAGCAGGGCAGGTAACAACTAGTCTGCAATTGTAAGACACTAGCTGTCAAAGTATGGAAAGCCTGGTCAATGGTCACTGTCAAGTGCTCCTTGGACACAGTGACCTCCTGTGGGGCACCATTAATGCCTCCACGCAAGAACTGATTTTCTTCAGTCCTGTCTCCTTAGCCGTGACCAGCCTACCCACCCCATCCCATCTTGCCAATCTTTTAAAATTTCCTTTTGAACCCCGGAACTTTCGGTCAAACCATACATCTTGTTCTTCTTCCCAAAGTTTGGTTTATTCCCCCTGCCCTATCCTGGTCCACTTCTGTTGTGTGCTTATCCGACCCTATGCCACGCCCTTCACAGAGTCTTCCCTCCTGCCCCCTCCACAGACCTTCTCCCCCTCCCCTCAGTTCCTGGCCACCTCTGTCTTCTCCTATAGCACTTCTTCTATTATGAGTTTAAAATATTGGAATAAATGCCCCATATTCTTAGTTCAGAGCTTTGCTGAAGACGTAGTCATACTAATAGTCATAGAGACCTTAAAGCAATCTTAAACACATTAGCTGCTTTCAGTAAATACAGGGTGGGGCAAAAGTAGGTATACAGTCGTGAAAACACGAAACAGAGTTTATTCTTGTATTATTGAATTATTGTATTATTTTCCATAGGAACAACTATAAACCTGCTTCTGCCCCACCCTGAATTTTGTCTGTGAATTGAAATACAATCAAGTCGCTATCATCATATTTCCCTGTTTGTTCTTTAAAACAGTATGCATTTGATACATAATGTTCCCCATATAGGGACAGTATATTGTTTGCCTCAGATGTTCCAGATCTAGGGCACTCTTTAAAAACGGAGCTGAGTCCAAATTCTCTCAAAGAGATATGCCATCAACACTAACACTGTTGACCCATTACCTGTTTGTCATGGTCTCCATAACCACTACTCCATCCTACCCCTCACACTAAATTAGCAGCATTTACATGACAGTTGTCAGTTGACTCACTGGATTGACCAATGATCTCCACTCCCTCAGGGTGACACACTGAATAATGGTCATCGATCTCTAAATGATGGAGTTTGTAGGTACCCTCAGAGGATGTCTGCATCTTCCGATGGGGTTGTACGCTTACAAATGTCAGCTGGATTCATTCCCCACAAAGCTACATCATTATTATTTATTTTTCTCACCTCACTGCAGTGTGTTACATTGTAACCATACCACATTACTTTTATGACCAGGACTAGCTCTTCGATTAGCTAGTATATATATATTTAAAATATATAAATTCCATAACTTTTGGGAAAACTAGATAAGAACTGTGGCATTATTGAGCTTTTTAAGAAAATGTGAAGATCCAAAGTAAATAAGTTAGGAGAAGATGCTTGTGTTCGTTAGAAATCCTGTTAGAAAAACCTAGAGGGATAATGGAGCACCGAACTTCTCCCATCTAAGAAACAGATAATTTATTGACTCCTTATGAATTTGCTGTTCAATCCCAATAATCTCTAAATCTGCTCTTGAAGAAGCACCCCGCCCCCCATAAAACTGGTAAGACAAAAGATTCATGAGTTACCTTTTCATCTCTTGGTTTGAGGTTGCACAGAGGCAAAAAGTTCTGTTTCCAGACTGAGGCACACAGTTAAACACAAATGGTTTTCCCAAACTGCTGTCAACGTCAACTGCTGCACCTTCTAATTTTATTGCCTCCAGAGGTGGGCATTTTCCTTCATCCTGTAATTGATAAGAAAGAGGTTCAGCATGGGCACTGCAGATAAGGGAAACAATGAGACAAGGAAGGACTTGTTATTTTTTTTTTAAATTGATTGCTTGTTCTGAAATAAAAGTAAAACCAGAAGGAGTTTTTGTAGATTATGTTTTCCATGACATACTCCATGGAACTCCAAATTTCCAGCCATGATATTTTCCCACATCCCTTTCGAAGAGCCTCTGCTAATGCACATTTTATTTATGCCAACTTAGGAAAGTATCATTAAATTTTAATGCCCACGTTTCCTATCAGAAAAAAGAAACTGATATTATAAAATGTGTGTGTGGTTGGTAGTCACATGGAATCTCTAGTTATGTCTCATTAACACGTATTTCATGCTTGTGAGTCAGGACTGCTTCTAAAAACTTCACATAATCTTAATTGATTTATCTTCACAATTGCTCACGAGGTAGTTACTTTTATTACCTCTATTTTACAGATGAGAAAACTGCGGCATAGAGAGAATAAAAAAACACTTTTCTTTAAATGACAAGTTTGAAATACCACTATATGTAAGCAAGACTAAATCTTTTTACAGATATTTTGTTATTTACATTTATTTTACAGTTCTATCTCAAAACATCCTTTCCATTATTCATGTCTTTTCTAAAAACAGCTATATTGAGGTGTAATTTACATACCATACAGTCCCTCGTGTACATGTACAATTCAGTGATTTTTTAATAAATTTATACAGCCATGAAATCATTGCCACAATGCAATTCTAGAACATTTCCATCAACCTCTAAGTGTTCTTTGAGCCAGTGTGTATTCAGTTGCTACCCTTGCCCCTCCAATCACAGGCAGTCACAGGACTGTTTTCTATCCATAATTTGCCATTTCTGGACATTTCATATAAGTAAAATCAGGTACTGTGTGGTCTTTCATGACTGGCTGCTTTCCCTCACTATAATTTTTCATGTTGTAGCACTTATTAGTACTTCATTTCCTTTTATTGTTGAGCTACACAGGATGAAGCAAAAGTAGATTTACAGTTGTTCTTTAAAAAAAATTTTTTTTTCCCTTTATGCTTTTTTAGAGAGAGAAGATGAGAGAGGGAGAAAGAGATAGAAACATCCATGAGAGAGAACATCGATTGGCCGCCTCCTGCATGCCCCCCACTGGGGATCAGACCCACAACCTGGGCATGTGCCCAGACAGGGAATCGAACTGGTGACCTCTTGGTGCATGTGTTGATGCTCAACCACTGAGCCACACCAGCCAGGCTACAGTTGTTCTTATGGAAAATAATGCCATAAGTAATAAATAATAATACAAAAATAAACTGTGTTTCACGTACTCACAACTGTAAACCTATTTTTGCCCTACCCTCTATTCTATTATATGGTTATGTCTCACTGAGCTTATCCCTTCACAAGTTGATGGAGACTTCTCTTTCCAGTTTTAGTCTGTTTTGAATAATGCTGCTGTGAACATTTGCGCACAGCTCTTTGTGTAGACATATGCTTTCACTCTCTTTGGTAGATTACTAAGAGTGAAATTGCTGGGCCATATGGTAAGTTTATCTTTAACTTTATAAGAAACTGCCAAACTGTTTTTGACAGTGACTGTACCATTTTACATTCCCACCAGCAGTGTATGAGTGTCCCCGATTCTCTACATTCTCACCAATACTCTCTGTTGCTTGTCTTTTTGATAATAGCCATCCTACTGGGCATGTAGTGGTATGTCCTAGTGGGTTTAATTTGCGTATTTCTAATAACTGATGGTGGGGAACCCCATTTAGTGCAGAGGTTCTTAACGAATTTTAGAAAATGACTTCCTTTGAGAAGCTGATGAAAACTATGGACCTCCCCCAAATACGTAAATGTGTACGTGCGTATGTAAATACATATATATGCATGTGTGCGCACACATGAATGTGTGTGTATACTCATATATGTGTGTAAATGTAAATACATATGCATGTGTGCATGTACACATATGCAAAAATTTTCTTGCAACCCATGAATAAATGGATACAAAGATATTCTTCCTCTAAAGGCACTATCTCGAAGTTGTATGACATTTCAGTTTATAAAATCTTTTCATGGACCCCATCTTTTTTATTCTTCACAACTATTCTATAAAGTGAGAAGCTAATGTTACCCCATTTTTCAGAGAAAGAAACAGAGTTTCAATGAGATGCCCCAAGGTTGCACAGACAGAGACAGAAGGTAAGCACCGTCCTCTGACTGCCTCCCACACGGCTCCTCCCACATGTCTGCCTCTGGGCCACCGCAGTTTGGGCGGGGCTGGCTCTGAGGGTCAGCCCTTGAAGGCTGTGGTCGTCAACATTTTAGAAGACAGAGTATTTCCTGAAGCCACCAGCTTTCCTTGAAGAGACAGAGATTTGAAATTTTGATCTGTTTTAGTAAATATTAGAAAGTTAGCACGTCTTATAATTATATATAGTCAATACTATGACATCAGAAACCAGAAGAATACATTCTCATTTGCTTTAATAAGGATAAAGAGTTTAGACTACTATAAATCATGGCTAATTATTTATATCATTTCCCTAAGAGCATTTTAAACAAAAACAAAAACAAATACAAAAAAAAGAAAGAAAGAGGGAAACATAAAACAAGCCTGGAGATTAAATTCTTTTCTGCTTATTTGCTAAGAGCAAATACTCACTGGGTCTGCTTTCCTGCGGGCCCACTGTGCAGATACTGTGATATACTATGTTGGTGTCTCAGAAACAGCCCTATTAGGTTTCTCTGGAACTACAAGCTTCTCCCACATCCTTTGCTATTGGAACATGCAAAAGAGTACACTCTTCTGGCATATGACACACACTAAAAATAGTACCGAAGTCACCTTTGAGGCTCTTTCCCCTCTGCTCAAGTTGCAGCTGTGTGAAGAGAATGACTGATTGGTGAATAAACCAGATTAAAAATGAGGCCATCGTGTCTTAAATGGTCTCTGTCAGGGCCCGGATTCCATTTTCACTAATCTCACCTGCGGCCTCATTCCCATGATGTGGAGCCTGCTTGGGCCCTGGACGCAGCTGCAATAAAAACCATGGACACAGAGCCTGGGTTGGGGGTGCGCTCTCTGCTGTGTGTACTCGTCTGACTCTTAACTTCGGTTTCACCAGCCCCAGCGCCTTGAAGCTCCAATCTTGTGGAGACACAGTGGTTGGAAAATGTTCTCTATTCAATCAAGTCCTAATGCTGCTTGGACTGTGGTTCCACAGTCCCCAGTCAAATGTTTTCAAGAGGTAAAGAGAAACTAGAATCCTTTTTCTATTTTATACCATGTCCTTAGGGTTTTCAACTCTTCCTTTAAGCAAAGCTCAGTCCTTCAGCGTGGCAATCATTCTTAAGTGGGTTCTGTTGCATTTCTTCTCTCTGGCTCTGCCAGAGTCTCACTTTTGTCAGTGCTGGTTTCCCACAACTTTATGTTCTCCTTTCCAAGACATGAAAAAGCTCTTGCTCCATTTTGTAAAAAATTCCTGAACTAAATCAGAGATCCAGCTGCTCATGTGTGCAAGATTGATTAAAATAGCAGGGATGCTGAAGAGACTTCCCAAGGAATTGTTCGGGGAGGTCCAGCAGCTATCGACGGAGAATAAAGGAACTTGGGCTGTTTATGCCAGATGGCCTAGGATAATGTTGACATTGTCTATCATGGAAATACGATTTCTACAGCTGTAATCCCAAAGGTCACACTGCTCAGCAAAGGGAAACCGTAAACAATAGTAATGACAGAAACCCAACCCAGAGTGAATCTACTTTTAAATGAAATGATTTCTTAAAAAGAAGAATACAGACAAGGACATTTGTGTCTGACAGCAACTTGGGCTTTCTGGTAAAATCGAATTCCCTACAGATGTTTTTGAGTTACTTGCTTTGGTCAAAATTTTGGTTTGAACATGCTGGAACTTTTTAAAATTGTTCTTGTTAGGCCTCTTTGTCTAAGAAAAGAGAAAAGGCTGGGACACCATACCCACATATTTTATTTTATCTGAAGGCACAGTCATGAAAATCCACAAACTAAGGAGGAGGAAAAAGGCATCTTTAGCCATGAAAAATAGCTACATCTCAGTGGGGAAGCCAGAGCTAAGATAGATAAATTTAGAGGGAAAAAAGCATGTCTTAAAGCAACACACCACATGGAAGGGTGCATGAAACATACATCTAGGGTGCTATATTTAAAGCTAGCAGGTTGAAGGAGGAGTGTCTCCCGGCACCTTATTAATGGTGCTGAGAGCCCTTTATCTCTAAGCAGCAGTTTGGAGGCACCATTCCCCACTGGTGACGACAGCTAGGAGATGATGGTCTGTGTCCATATCTTAGCTGATAGGATCAGGAGAGCAGCAAAGCCTGCGAAAGCAAGGAGGGAATGATACAAGAGTGGTTTCTCACTGTAGTGGCTTTGTAACCTTCATCCTGTGATGAAATAACCTTGACCCTGGGCACTGTAAACCCCTCACTACACCACTCACGATCATTCCGTACATACACGAGAATATGTGAGCGTGAACATGATCGAAACATCGATGAGAGAGAACATGGATCAGATGCCTCCTGCACTCCCCCCACTGAGGATCGAGCCCACAACCCAGTCATGTGCCCTGACCAGGAATCGAACTGGCAACCTCTTAGTCCACAGGTTGACACTCAACCACTGAGCCACACCGGCTGGGCAGAACTTGTTTATTTTTTGTGCTTTTTTTTTCCCCCTCCAGGTAGGCAAGAAAAGATGGGCGAAAACAGAGAACAGAAGGTAAAGTGAGCATGCAATCAGACCCTGTGTGTGGGCCACAAGGCATGGGTGGCATGGGTTCCCGTCAGAGCTTCGTGAATTCAACATCTCTCTTTTTGCTTTCGTTAAGAAACTGAGATGATGACAGTTTTATTGCCCCAAAGTTGCAGCACGTCGCTGGTCCAAACGTACTACTGCTCTTTCCCCACACTGAGAACGCTGCCCAGCTGCCGCTGCGACATCACAGAGG